TATTTTGAAAATGATGAACTCTCTCTCCTGCCCCAAGGGTAGAGCCCCCAGCTCAGGGGTCCAGACAATTGAACCCCAGGATCTGCTCCCAGACTGGCAGGCTTCTGAGTATTCATGGATTGTTTCCCTGCCTTCTGGGTCCTGCCTCCCCAGGAATTGGTGTAAACGTCATAAAGTTCAATCAAGTTCTAGAACTATCCAGAGAGTTCCAGAAGACAGGGGGAAATAACAGAGCCATGGCCTTTGAAGCACTGCACAGACTCCTAAACAAAATTAATCCATGCTCCTCTGCCTACTGAAGAGCCAAATTAAATTTACCTATGCTAGAAATAGTGAGGTTCCTACACTTGTTAGCAGTATATGTGCATAGAGGACATCTGACTGACCCCCAATTTTACTTTTTCCTCTCCCAGATCAATTGCTGCAGTACAGGGGTCTAAAATCAAGTCAAACTTGAGTATTTATATTAATGACATTTAAAATATACACTATATTGACAAAAGTATTGAGATACCCCTCCAAACCATCAGATTCAGGTGTTCCAATCATCTCCGTGGCCATAGGTGCCAAGCATATAGGCATGCAGACTGCTTCTACAAACATTTGTGAAAGAATGGACCGCTCTCAGGAGCTCAGTGAATTCAAGCGTGGTACCGTGAAAGGTTGCCACCTGTGCAATATGTGTCGTTCTGTGAAATTTCCTTGCTATGAAATATTCCACGGTCAACTGTTAGTGGTATTATAACAAAGTGGAAGCACCTGGGAACCACAGCAACTCAGCCACAAAGTGGTAGGCCATATAAAATGACAGAGCGGGGTAAGCACATGCTGAAGCGCACAGTGCACAGACATTGCCAACTGTCTGCAGAGTCAGTAGCTAAAGACCTCCAAACTTTGTTTGGCTTTCAGATTATCACAACAGTGTGTAGAGAGCTTCATAGAATGGGTTTCCATGGCCGAGCAGCTGCATCCAAGCCTTACATCACCAAGTGTAATGCACAACATTGGATGCAGTAGTGTAAAGCACACTGTCACTACACTCTAGACCAGTAGAGAAGTGAAGTGACTAATCACACTTCTCTATCGGGCAATCCAATGGACGTGGCTGGGTTTGGTGGTTGCCAGGAGAATGGTATTTGCCTGACTTCATTGTGCCAAGTGTACTGTTTGGTGGAGGGGGGGGATTATGGTGTAGGGTTGTTTTACAGGGGTTGGGCTTGGCACCTTAGTTCCAGTGAAGGCAACTCTTAAGGTGTTAGCATACCAAGACATTTTGAACAATTTCATGCTCCTAACTTTGTGGGAATAGTTTGGGGATGGCCCCTTCCTGTTCAAACATGACTGCATACCAGTGCACAAAGCAAGGTCCATAAAGTCATGGATGAGCAAGTCTGGGGTGGAGGAACTTAACTGGCCTCAACCTGACAGTACACCTTTGGGATGAATTAAAGAAGAGACTGCGAGCCAGGCCTTCTCATGAGACATAAGTGCCTGACCTCACAAATTCTCTTCTGGAAGAATGGTCAAACATTTCCATAGACGCACTCTTAAACCTTCTGGACAACCTTCCCAGAAGAGTTGAAGCTGTTATAGCTGCAAAGGGTGGGCCAACTCAATATTGAACCCTATGGACTAAGACTGGGATGCCATTAGAGTTCCTGTGTATGTAAAGGCAGGCGTCCCAATACTTTTGGCAAATTAAGTGCATTTAATTATTTTTTATTGAATGCCTAATTGCTTGTAGGGGTGTTTTCCAGTGTCTGTCTGGAGTTCAGCTTTAAAAGGTAATATTTAGTACAGTCCCTGATGTATGCAAATTGAGCCTGTGGACCCTGTGTCTTAAACCAAAGGCCAAACAGTGCAGATATGCCTGGTGTACTAGAGGTCACTCCCACTTCATAAAACTGGCAAAACATTGCTGTATACATGTTCTGCATGTATGTGACACTACATTGTCACATAATTGAGGCCCTATTCATGTCATATACCAGGTCCCACAACTGCAAAGTTATGGAAGCGATTTCTTTTCTTTTTTTAAAAAAAAGCGTGATGATAAATATAAGGCCTCTTTGTGATTGTAGCAAGCACAGAAAATTCAGTAACCTCTGTAGAACATTTTACAAGATCACAATTTTAAAAGCTGTAGCATTCACACCTCTATGTAAAATATAGCTCAGGTCAAAAAGGTGTTTCTGTGTAGTTGCAGTTTTGCATTACGAATTGAACTTTCAGACTATACTTTTTCCGGAAGATGATGACAGTAATACTGCTAGGCTTATAATAAAAGATACAGCAGTCAGACATTATTTTTCAAATGCAGATCACTTTAAAATGATATCTGAATACCGATCCTCAAAGGAATGCTCAAATCTGCTTGAGAGCAAAAAAATTATAATGCAGTTTGGCCGCCAGATGATAAGAACAAAAAAAAAAGTGATTGGATTTTTCAGAAAGCGAGGAAAAGAAGCTGCTACAGGGAGCTTGTATTTAAAATGTATTCTGTTGGCACAGAAAAGTATCACCTGTAAAGGCCCCCATAGGTGGCTCAAATTTCGGCTGATTTCTGCTTCAGCCATGATCCAAGCTATGGGTGGTCCTGCAAGTGCCATCAGTCTCAACAAAAGTCAATTTAAAAATCCACTGAGTCGGGTAGAAAATTACTGGCTTATCAATTACAGCACCCTATCTGAAGGAGTCACCTATCAACAGCTCCAATGCATACAGGCAGGTGCTGGCTACTTAAGTGCAATAACCATCAGTAGAGGTTCCTCCTACTTCTGTTGAAGCACAGCTTCCAACAGTTCAGGCAAGTTTTTTTATGTTTTGTTTTTTTCCTGAATGAGTGGGGAAGAGTTTGAACTCTTTCAGCTTAGTATAATTCTCTGTGTCCCCTATTCCTTGACCGAAAAGTAATATACAGCTGTCCATCAACCTGGAGTAAAAGTTAAAGTGTTACTAAACCCAGGACCCTGCATCCACTATATCTGGTCTCCCACAGTACACAGAACAACATGGAAGTGCAATTATTTTAGTAAACATAAACTGTTGTTTATTATTGTCTAGATGTTATTGGGAATATGTAATATCCCATTTGATTCGGTATTATTATCTGCTAAAAGATGCAGAGAGTTGATGGGTTTTAAATTTTGTTGCATGGTTGTTTTAGCACCTACCTATTCACATTTGTTTAGAAACTGCTAAATACCTTTTCTCATGCAGTTAGAGCAGTTTGACTGGGCAGTTTGTAAATTGTCTGGACAGTGCTGATTGCCCTGTGCTAATCACATGCAATTTCCCAAGGAAAAAAAAAACCTTTTTAGCAATATACACCAAACTGAGCATGTGCAGAGTGACTCCACACAATGTGCCTTGTAAGCTGTAGTTAAGAGAGGGGCACTGGATACAAAGAGCATTTTTACACAATGACCCTGATTTGATTTTACTGTTGTTGGTTTAGCGACACTTTAAAGTGTTACTAAACCTACAACAGTCAAATCAGTCTGTATTTGCAGTAAATAATGCTTGTTATACTCACTGTGGAACCTATTAGGTTAATCCTCTGCATTGTGTAAAAAGGTCCTTGATCCTGACCTCTCTGCTCCTCCTCTTGTTCACATTTCCACATCTTATCTGAACCGTGGCCATTTTGAACATGCTCAGTTTAGTGTGTATTGCTAGAGAGGTTTTTGTTTTTTTTTTGGGAGAGTGCATGTGATCAGCACAGGGCCAATCCACACTGTCCAGACAGATGTCAGGGGATTTACTTCCTAGACAATAATAAACAACAGTTTATATTTACTAAAATAATTGCACTTCCTTGTTGTTCTGTGTACTGTGGGAGACCAGATATAGTGAAGAGCAGAAAGAAAACTCCTCCTACAAGCTTTAGCTAGTGGTGGGCTGGACACAGATAGAAGTCACAAGACTGTTCTAACTGCTATTTAGCAGTTTATATTTACTAAAATAATTGCACTTCCATGTTATCGGAATACTACCGGAGAACAGATATAGTGAATGCAGGGTCCTGGGTTTAGTACTTGACATTACTGCAATGCAGCCCAGAGCCGTGCTGCAGGGTGCTGCAATAAAATGCAGATATGTAAGCAGGTGCAGTCTACTTTCTCCACTGTAGGTGACACTGGGCCACAGCGGTGCTGCAGCAGGAGAGGAACTCAGGAGAAATCTGGCTTCTCTACGGTTTCAAGGCCCTTTGAGGCAGCATTCTGGTTGGCTACACTGCATCCAGGTGACCATGGCGACCATCTTGGGTCAGCAGGGCCCTTTTAGGTCCCTGTGCCCAGGCTTTTGCTTTTTTGTGAATGGACAGAGTAGGGAAAGAGCACTCGTCTGTCAGAAAAAGTAATTAGTGACAAGGAAAGGTTCCGGATGAGTAGAGACATGCAAGGGACATGCCATCCCGTACCGGACAGGCCAGGCCGTATTCCACTTCTTGGAGACAGAGGCTTATGCAGGCCATAGATGGGGAGAAAACCAGCTCTTTTTTCTTTAAAAAAATGAAAACTCGGTCGTTCAAGCGGCCGACGTTACCAGGAACGGTTTTTCATCCCATCTACAGCCGGCAAAAAGTGTCCCTGCAGAAGCTCCGCTATTTCTTTGACAGTTCTTTGACATTTATAGCGGTTGCAACAATGTATCTATTTGTATCCATTTCGGATACAGATGTTTTTATTCGGAAACAAGTAGATACATTGTTGCAACCGCTATAAATGTCAAAGAACTGTCAAAGAAATAGCTGAGCTCTCTGCAGGGACACTTTTTGCCGGACTGGAATTCTTCTTCATCCTCTTCTTCTTCTTCTTCTTCTCTTCTTCATCCTCTTCCTCTTCTTCTTCTTCTTTCTTCATCCTCTTTTTCTTCTTCATCCTCTTCTTCTTCTTCCTCTTCTTCTTCATCTTCTTCATCCTCTTCTTCTTCATCCTCTTATTCATCCTCTTCTTCTTCTTCTTCTTCTTCTTCTTCTTCTTCTTCATCCTCTTCTTCTTCATCATCCTCTTCTTCTTCATCCTCTTCTTTATCATCCTCTTCTTCATCCTCTTCTTCATCCTCTTCATCTTCTTCATCCTCTTCTTCTTCTTCATCCTCTTCTTCATCCTCTTCTTCATCCTCTTCTTCATCCTCTTCTTCATCCTCTTCTTCTTCTTCATCATTCTCTTCTTCTTCATCATCCTCTTCTTCATCTCTCTTCTTCATCCTCTTCTTCTTCTTCATCCTCTTCTTCTTCTTCTTCTTCATCTTCCTCTTCTTCTTCTTCATCTTCTTCTCTTCCTCTTCTTCTTTCTTCTTCATCCTCTTCTTCTTCTTCTTCTTCCTCTTCTTCTTCTCCTCTTCCTCTTCTTCATCCTCTTCTTCTTCTTCTTCTTCTTTCTTCATCCTCTTCATCTTCTTTTTCATCCTCTTCTTCTTCTTCTTCTTCTTCTTCATCCTCTTCTTCTTCCTCTTCTTCTTCTCTTCTTCTTTCTCTCCTCATCCTTTCTTCTCCTCTTCTTCATCCTCTTCTTCATCCTCTTCTTCCTCTTCTTCTTCATCCTCTTCATCCTCTTCCACTTCCTCTTCTTCTTCTTTTTGTCTTCCTCTTGCAGGTCACTGCTCATGCGCAGATTTTTTTATCGGTAAAAAGATCGGCCGATTTGCCCATCACTGCCATGAAAATCGGCCGATCGGCAAAATCGGCCGATCTTTTTCCAACTTTACCGATAAAAAAATTCTGCCAAAATACCGAAAAACGGCCGAACAATTAGCCCACTAATGATCCGAAAATCGGCCGATTTTTGACCTATCTATGGCCTGCATTACCCACACTAGTCTGCAAGCTGCATAGAACGGTGGGCTCAATTCACTAAAGAATATCTCATGAGATCATTGAATCATTTGAAATATTTTCTCCAATTATCTCATGAGATACTGATGTCAAATCACTATCACCTTATGTGTTATTTACCTCACAAACCAAAAACATGAAATAAATAACTCATAAAATGGTGTCAAAAGTCAATTCATTAAAGGAAATAAATGCATGAGTTAAATACGTATTGGTCCAGGAATGAGCTATTTAGGGAATGTAAAAATATAATAGCCAATTTGTCTCTACCTTTTTGGATCAGTTTCTCAACAGTAATGCATAGAAAGCTACAGTATATATGGAAAAATACAAAATCATTGGGCTGATTGATGTAAAGTATAACTAAAGGCAAAACTTTTTTTTTCAATTTTGGATAGAGTGGAGATGGATTAGACCCCCTGTCCGGTTTTTATAACTGTCTGCATCCCTGTTAGGGAGATTCACCCTCTCTATTTGTCCTGTTTACCAATATCACTGAAAGTAAAAGAAAATCTCAAATGTTGGGTTGTCCTCAGAAAAATAATAGAAATCTTCCAAGGGACACTAGAGAAGTGAAGGGAAATCTCCCTAATGACAACGTTGTGTTTTTTATTGGTGGAAAAAGGATATTTATGTATGCGTGTGATTTTTGATACTATTTTCATTCAATTCAATTTGACATTTATAAAGATATTTTGCATTTACTTAATTTAATTGAATTGTTTTTGATACACCATGTGTGTCCTGTGAAATCAGCTTCCCTTTGACTGGTATTCTAGTCACCTTTTTTTCTTCTGTATTAATACATGTGCTGCTGGGACTGCACTGACTTAGTGAGTTGGCATATTTCTATGGTTTAAAATACTTTACCTCTTTATTAGTAATAAAAACTGACATGGGTACTAATTCTTCTCCACTGCATCCATCCCACTGGATATCACGTCATGAGAAAAAATACCACATGGTTTCATGAGTAAAATACCCCACATTTTGATGAAATAAATGAAAATGGGGAAAATGGGGGTGTTTTGTGCACACTGGGATAGGTGACAGGGCCTCCCTGCATTATTTATTATTGTTATTGTGCGGCACTGATCAGGGACACTGGGGCACTAAAATGGGATTCTGGGGTGGCTGACACTGCAATGGCTGAGTGTACAAGCAGCCTGACAGGCTCCTGTGCACTCAGGCACTGCAGGATTGCTTCTGTCTGCTCTTGCACTGACAGCAGAGAAAACTGATCTTTACTTTCAGTTTCCAGTGTTTACTATGTGAGGGCTGTGATTGGTCACAGCAGTCACATGGTAAAACACCATGTGATCACCCGAACACAGCAGTAATGTGATCCGCTGTGTCTGGGAGACACACCTATCACCGGGATCCGGGGTGCACGCTCTGTGAGCCGCACACAAGCCATCAATGCAGGCTGACGTACATGAACATTAGCCTGCATCATCCATGTAGAATAGGTTCCCGTTCATCATCTATATAGATTGGGTGGATGGGAAGAGGTGAAGAGTAAAATAATTCTTTGTGAATTGAGCCCTGATAATGTCCCTCAGCATGGCGCTGTGTAGTTTGTATACCTAAGCTTGTTCATCAGTACAAGCCTGGCTACTTACAACTGGACTTTGTGTGATTTCTGACACCACACTACGCTGCACCTACGCACACATATGCTGCATTTTATCACAGCACACTGTACAGAACCACATGGTACTGTATGGCAGCACAGCACATTGTGCTGCTATACAGGGCCATGTATATATAACTTCTCAGATAAAACAACAAAACATAAATATTGCATGTGTCACCAAAACGTAATCAATATAAAGTGCATCCAGTGCAATCAAGATATTCAAAATATAGTGCATATATTATTTCAATACAGACGTCAATAGTTATACCTAAGTCCATTTCGTGTAGAAAGCGAATGTGCTCAGTCCATAAACAACCAAATATTTCCTGCAAGACAGCTTCACACACCATGCGATTGTGATCCAAGTGAATCCACCACCACAGATCCTCTCAACAAATAGATTGATCCCAACATAGAGATGAATATGCATTGTATGCATTTAAGCACCGCTGGCCATGTTATAAAGCACTTCCCAGCTTATTACAGCCTGCCACAATATGTCCGGTAAGAGAAACATTGATTTCACGCAACTTCTACAGTGGAATCTCCCTCCTAAAGTAGCCACAAACAGTGTTATAATGTAAAAGTCTGTTTTATTAAAAGAAGACAGGTACTTACAAACAAACAGGAACAACAGCAAATACAATTGCCGAGATCCGAGTCTCGGCTAGCCGGTGATGTCACATGCATGCCAAGACAGGGATCTCGGCATTTGTATTTGCTTTTCTTGTAATGAATAGCATTTGTAATTACTAAGGGCCCATTTCCACTTTGCCATACTGGTGAATTGCATTAACACACGTGCGTTAATGTGTGTTGCCTCAAGGCGGCTCATTCAAATGAATGGGCTGCCAATGCACCAGGAGGATAAAATGTAATTACAGTATTTACAGCTTTAGAATGCTGTCAATTTTGCTGGCTTATACTTTGTGAAAATGTATTCTAATGTAACATGATTAATCTTGCCACACGGGCTAAATATATTTCCAAATGTGTATATGGGACTGGACCATTATGTTTCTAGCAATGTGTTGTAATTGCCAAGACATGGAGCTCAAAGCATGAGCTTGCATCATTCTTTATCTGCTTTATGTTTTCCCAATGTGTTCAGCAGCTGGTTTGGTCAATAAAGAAGATTGGCAGCTCAGCATATGGATGGATTCCTAATGGGATAGAAATGCGCAGATCAAGCACCAGGTGAAGGAGGTGATCCATTAAATGTCTTTCTATTTGAACAAATGTGTATCTTTATTATTTGGATATATACTTCATCATTTTTTATATACTTGGGATTACATCTCTACACTATTGCTACTAGCTAGTTTGGTCATTTCAACATTCACCCTGCTGATATGAACTTTTTTTTGTTCAAACTCAATTTTCATTCAGTCTGTGCTGTGATCCTGATTCCAAGACAAATGACAATTTGCCAAACTTCACAAAAACAACTGATTATTTTCCTGAAATGGAACAAAAACTGCAGTTTCATTCAATTATATTCCAGTCTGCAAAACGGTAGTCTCAAATCATTATTGACTGTTGGAGATATAAGCAGGATAATAGTAAAAGCCTGATAATCCAAGTATAATCTGTTAATCAGCACAGACATAACAGAGAAGATTTATTAGCTTGGGAATTTCTATGGGAGGTGCAAAGGGCCAGCTACTTTAACTTATTTACCAACTGCTCATACAAAGAACAAATTGGGCCTATTATTACATTTTATATTTGACTCTGAGTCATTTTTTAATCCCCAGCTAATCTATGATATACATGAATTACAAATGTGTGTATAATAATTTGAGCATTATTTTTCCACTTTGCATGAATCGTTAAGGCATATGTCAACACATATACAAAAAATCACCAGCGCCAAAAATAGTAAAATAATTCCTAAATAAATGCTGCTGATCATTAGTGTAAACACTAATAAAATAACAATAAAAAATCAAACAGCGCAAATAAATATTCACACAAAATTAAGAAATAATAAAGAAATACAAAACACATATATTGAATATAATGAATAGAATAGTCCCACTCCAAAAATAATTATTAACATGAATATGGTGAGTAGAATAAAATTGAAAAGTCCCTATCCAAAAGACCCTTGACCCATGTTCACACCCATTAGTGCTCAGATCACATACCGCACTCACCAAAAATGTATATAGTGTAAAATTGCAAGACTCAGACAGGATGAAATGCAAATACCAAACCACTCACATTTTAAAAGAATATAATCAGCATTTATTGTTTATATGGAGCCAGAACGCCACATCACCAGGGTTAAAGATCTCCCAGTCAGCAATAGATGACAGCATGTAAGAATCGACCCTCAAGAAAGATGGCCCCCGAGAGCGCGTGCGCTCCACTCACCGGAAGTGACGTAGTACGTTGGACAGTGAAGCCGGAAATGTGTCAATGAGTTTTGCCCCTCCTCCAGGGCGTTTTCACAGACCATATGTCAACACTGCCAAACACATACATTTTAAATAAAAAAAAGTATTATTTTTTATCACATATAACATATGGGTGCTCCCAAACTTCCAGCCTCTGCAGCCTAGATCACATGGGCTCTGGCCAATCATTAGAGAAATGCATTCATAAAGGACAAATATGCCTGCCCCCACAGCCTGAAAATATACACTCACCTGCCACTTTATTAGGTACACCTTGCTAGTGCCAAGAAAATATCCCCCACACCATTACACTACCACCACCAGCCTGAACCATTGATACAAGAGAGGATGGATCCATGATTTCATATTGTTTACGCTAAATTCTGACCCTACCATCTGAATGTTGCAGCTAAAAATTGAATGCCCATTCTCCTCTGACCTCTGACATCAACAAGGCATTTTCATCTACACAACTGCCACTAACTGGATATTTTCTCTTTTTCAGACCATTCTCTGTAAACCGTAGAGATGGTTGTATTTGAAAATCCCAACAGATCAGCAGTTTCTGAAATACTCAGACCAGCCCGTCTAGCACCAACAGCCATACCATGTTCAAAGTCACTTAAATCCCCTTTCTTCCCCATTCTGATACTTGGTTTGAACTTCAGCAAGTTGTCCTCACCATGTCTAAATGCCTGAATGTACTGAGTTGCTGCCATGTGTTCGGCTGTTTAGCAATTTGTGTTACCAAGCAATTGAACAGGTGTACCTAATAAAAAGGCCGGTGAGTGTATTTATGTACAATGGAAGCCTATAGTAAAACTGGTAAAGGGTTCATTGGCTTTCTAAGCTCCATCTTTAAGAATAACATTTTAAATCAATACCTA